AATTTCTGGTTAATTATTAAAAACTTTTTAGAACCACTTATACCTTCCGTTTAGTAGGAACTACAGAATTTTGAAAGAATTCGTTTGATGTCACATTTTAAAGGCATTTGTATGTGTTCCAAACAAACACGAAATATTCCAGTAATTAAGTATTAATTTATGCAGGCGTTCAGGGAATTGTTATTGTAATCTCGCCTGAAATAACTGCCTTGTGTCTGCAAATTAATGTTTCGGTTTTTTTTGAGACGCGAAGTCATTGGGATCATCGATGAAATCAGCAGAATTTGCACTTGTTTTTATATTAGAAGAAGGACTAATGTCGATATGTTCAGTTCGTTGATATCTTCAGAATAATTCAATGAAGGATATAAGCGGAACAAACTGGATAATCTGTAAACGCAACAAATTAGAATCATTGAAAATATTCCACTACCATGTCCTTAACCCCAGATTTCAGTAGAAATAAATTCCTGTTTAATTAACGTCTTTTCGCTAGATAAATTTATAGACGTAACAAACACGTTATTTGACTGTATTTGTTTTGTAATTTTTTTCATACCTACTTGGAACTTTATGGATTATAAGCAAACAAAGAACGTAGATGCATTTTTCTCGTATGATTTATTGAGTTCTTTGAATGTTTCTCAACATTTGATGTATTACAGCATATGCAATTGTGTGTGGAATACCAATGCAGGGTTTAACCTGTCTTCATTAATCACGTGATCTTTCACCTGATTGCTATACTGAAAATTTTTCTAGCCGATCACAGGTTCAGATCCATTTGTCGAGTAGTAACAGAAAAAAAATTATAATTTTTGGAAAAAAAACTAAATTGCAAATTGATGAATGCAATCTAATTCTCCAAAAATAAAAAAGAGAGTGTTAACTTTAAAAATTTACTATGGCCGTCCTAATCAACCGATTTCAATTTTTCAAAAACCGTTTGAAAGGTTGAGCGGTCTTTTCTATGTGAGAAAATTTTCAAGTATCTGGATGCTGTATTTGAGGCTGTGCAACATTTTGAAAATTCGAAAAAATTTTTTCAAATCTTTTTTCAAAAAATTATTTTGCGAAAACTATACAAGCGATTTTAATGAAATTTGGTGTGTTGTTGCCCTCGGAGCAATGAAAATATTTTAAAAAACTATCCAAAAAACTTGATTATTCGCCTTGTTTTCATCAATTATTGCTATTTTGCAACATCGGTAATAAATTTAAACATTTTTAACTTGCAGTATATTGCGCAAAATTCAATTCTAAGACTTTTTTCCTCTTCAATATTCTTCCAAAATGTGTAGGTTCCAAGATATAAGTAAAAAAATAAGTTTTTTTTTAAATTTTTTAAAAATTTTTGCAATTTTGAAAATGTTCCGGACCTCGCCCAGATCTAGGGATCTACACTTTTATTATGTGAGTTGTAATGAGGGTATTCCAGCAAAAATTAGCTTGCCCCGTATTACAGTGGGATATCTCGACAGATCCGCTCTGGTCTATTAGTGTAATAAATTTCAATAAAATCTTACAAGACATTTGAAAGTTATTTGAAAAGAACAATGCCATCTAACGGCTTTATGAAGCAAATTAGGGTAGATATAAATTTTAGTTAAATCTGCTTATTTTTATTTCAAGAAACTATCATTGCTCCTCGTACACCCCGTATATAACTTCCTTAATTCCTAATAGCAATCCCTTAATTGTAAACAATCCTTATTTGTTGCCACGCATCATCAAATGTTGTTCAGTTCTGTTTAATAATATAATTACAATCTCATTACCGTTTACAATAATTCATTTAGACCACCTATATATAGCAGTGGACTTAAAAACTGACCCTCACTATCGCCTTGGGTTATTTTTTCGCGCATTAGTAATCGTATGACCTTAAGTTAGGTCAGGTTAAATTTCAATGTTTTTTTTACCGCTTAAACAGGAATCTATTCATACTCATCGCAATGCTTCGGCGAGTTTTGAAAAAATCTTATATTGCCCGGAATATGTAATATAAAAATATAAAATATTCTCTGAACGGCTTCTATGTACATTCAAATTAAAATAGATTCGTAAAAATATGCTGTAGATGCTACTGCGGTGAGGTTTTACCTGTGAACGTAAAGAATTGTACATATTAGGAATATACAAACATATACGTCAATGAAGTCTTAGGAAACTCTTGCTCCACGGAAAAGTACGAGAATTTTTTTTTGTTATATTGTAGATATAGTATATGTACAACAGAAATTGCGAAAATGGAATATATTGCAAAAATTTAAGTGAAAACTAAACAAATTTTTTTATTATTTGTCAAACTGGTTGTCATTTACTGTTTACAACTAATCAAGTTTCAAGTTCGAGTTCGTAGAAACACATATTAATTTCCAAAGGTTCTTCCTCGTACTTACACTGAATTTATATTAACCTTATTATTAAGTATCTGATAGTTTTATCATAGTTCCATTTATCTAGATTATTTACTTAGAATTGTTACTATTGTCAAGGTTGCTGTTTTTGAATAACAATGCAATTGAAGGAATATAAACACGATATACAATTGTCTGTGTCTACAATTTTGTTTTGAAGTACCTGTTACTGCAACTTTTTTTTCAAACACTTTAACTGAGTACCACTCAACAAAAGCCTTCGGAAATCTAACAGGCATTGGTGGATGATATATCACTATAAAACTTTAAGTAGCTAGAAGATGTAGATAAGAATTAAGAGAGTAAGGCAGGTCATTTATAAACAAACTAAAAAGAAGTGGGCCTAAGTCGGAGCCCTGAGACATGTTTGACTTGGTCCAAAATTTGTTTAACTTAAAATCATTGTAAGAAACGTATAAAGATTCTACAATTTTATAATAAATATAAGTTATAAGATACAAACGCACATTGTTTTCAATTTTAAACCTGAAAAAAATACCTGACAAAATAACTAACTGATTTTCATGTACCTATTTCTTTAATGTTTGTCGGCATCTTTATTTTTAGTTTTCCGTAAACCAGTTCCGCAATAACCTTCTAGTTTTCAGCTACTGTGACGATTTAAGTTACAAAATATATTTGTTATTTATTAAAAACAACTTTTTTTTACTAGAATATGAATAAAATTAATGAATTGGACGAAACTATTATTACCTTTTTTTGGTCTGAAAAGTATTTTACTCTTGACAATGGGAAACTATTAGACAAAATTGAATAATCAGAGGATTATAATTTAATACTTGGTTATTCTATAACGGTTGTGGTGGCACGTGTATATCAACGTGATATTTTCCGACTAAATTGCATAATACTATACGAGTATATTAAAATGCTAAATGGTAATTTTGTTGTGGAATAGAAATAGGAAGAAATTAAAGTGATTCACCAAGTAAAATCTGTATATACAATTCCAGTTTTGCGTGGTATATATTTCAAAATGGGGGATTTTTTTTAATATGTCAAATTTATATTTTTGTCGATGATTAGGTTTTGCACAAAACTCAACTAGAGAAAAGACCGGTGTAACAGCCGAAATAATGGAATTCTAGATAAATGAATGAGTTTCGTGAGCTTTTGTAGTTTTTTTTTGATATGTTTTCATCTTTCCCACGTAGGTATCAGATTAATTACAAAGAACTTCCTTCCGTAAAGAGATTATATATATTTTAACACGCAACAATTTGTGGTTAGGGTTCTATTAATTCATTAATGACGCGAATTAGAACTTGTTGGAAAATTCCTGCGCCTAATGTTTTGTCTTTTGCTGATGAAACCATTCTGGTTTTTGATGTGCTAATGTCATTAAATATTTCCCAATGAAAGAAATCTCGAGCACACCACTTGTCCCAAATTGTATTTAAATTTTTTATATCCCCGCAGTAGACCCATACTATCGAGTTTGAGACACCATGTACTAATTTTAGACGTATTTTCATTTATTCGCATTATATAGTCAGGAAATATTTCCAGGAACTAGGTTCTTCAGGATACAATGTAAGTTGTACACTACTCGAGCAATGCGAGCTCAATAAATTCATAAATGCGACCCAATTCATTCATTTCCATGGTGAAAAATCTCGTTTCGGCAAAATGTGGGCGAGGAATTCTACCAAGGACGTGTTTCAATCAAATTGTTAAAAAGTTTAACTAAATTCATTGGCATAATCGGCACAGTGTGATGTAACAGTGGGTGGAGGCGATTTATGCGGTTGTGTTGCAAAATTCTAACGAGTCAGTGACGTTTCGGAACGACGAAAAGGGTAACTACTTCTTTGGAATGTCACCTGTGATGCAGAGATGTGTGTGTAAAGTTTTTGGCGAATTTTCATAAGCAGCCTCTATATCTTTTATAATCATTCGTTTAAACGTTGAAATTTATAGAAATTTACTAATATTTCAATACTGATTTAGTAATTAATAGAAAAATTATATGTAACGACAAAATTGAAACAGAAATGAATAAAGAGAAAGAGTTAACAGTTGTATCTTTATGTATCTTTGAATTGTCGGTATATGTATTTATGGTAACGTTTTCCAAAACACCCTGTACAAATCGACACGCGAATGCAATCAAATTGCACGTGAGCGCGTATTAATCACACCAAATCTGAAACTACAAGAGTATTAGCAAATTATTTCGATTATAAACGATAAAGATTATGACGATGCATAATTTTACCCATTACTCTGATTAATAAGCTTGCAAATATCTGATACAACTAAATCAGAGCGTAAGGTAAGTATGTCAAGATGGTGACTATACACTCAGTTCCTCGAATCGTTTCAAAGTATTACTGCAAGCTTCATAATACACAATACCGCACAGAAGCTGTTTACGATTTGACAACTTGAAAACAGAACATGATTTAGAATCGTATAGTGGGGATTTACGTAAGGGAATCTGAATATCCATTATCTGAAACTCATCGGTTCAATTTTCGGAACACCTTTGCCTTGCGTATGTGGTGGGGACCAACCATGACCCTGTATATCGCAATGGATGTTACATATATTTTCATCAGTTCCCTTCGCACGCCTGTAACGTATCAACAGCCTTAGCGGCGTATCAGGACGAAACGCCGACTGTTATTAACGCAGGACAACGGGGAGACAGACAAGTGGTGAATTGGTGGCCCAGATCTCCTGTCTCTATTAATAATCGAGTCGTTTTTCCTGCGAGTTAATGATTTTAGTTATAGCAGTTCTGTCCTCAGTTTATTTCTGATTCAGATTACGTGAGGTCGTCTCCATTGAAGGGTGTGTGATTGGTCCTCGTACATTGCTACGTTCCGCGATTATTTTCGTGACGGCGTGTTGCAGTATAGGCCTTAGGACTGAATGTGGAGCAGGACGGTGGTATGAGCGGCCAAAAGAATTACGGGTTCGTCGAGGACTCAAGAAATGACAGTTACAGCAGGTGAGGTTAATGTTTGTGTTTGTATTATTTTGCTTTAAATGTTATTTGAATCAAGTTTAAAAATTTCCTGCTGACGTAATTCGGTACCAGACGGGCGTTAGTCCGCAGAGTAGTTTCCTACAATGTAATGAAAAGTTGATTTTTAGCGTAGGTATCTAGATATTTTTGTAGAGATCATAAACGACTGTCAAGTGTTATTTTTATGAAAAGTGTTTTACCAAAGCAAAATCTCACACTAAAACAAAATGGACAAAAATTTAAAAAGTTGTTTGCGTTTCGAAAATCAATATGTTTTAGTTCAAATTTGTTGATGGACATGCATTTTTTAAACTTTTCTTTATAATTGTCCAAAAATGACATATTTGGAATGACAGTATATAATTTTATAAAAAAATTGTTAGGGCAAACAATATTTCAGGTCTACCTATCTGCACCCTATCCCTGAAATTGTTTAAAAAGATGGAAGAAAATATTTCGCTTAAAAACCATAAAGTTAATATTCTTTTTGTTTTTCACATTACATAAAAAAATTAGTAGAAAAAAAAAAGGTAACTAATACCATACCTACTGTCAAAATAAAGTGTTAAGTGTCACTTATATTTAAAATATCAATATACAAACGTAAATTTGCATGAATGCAGTTCTGATATTCTGATTTGGGAATAATTATTTGCTGCATCCTTGTAATTTTAAATGCATACCGATTTCGTTTTCCTATTTTGATTTTGACTGTTTTATTAGAATATTTTAATTTTACAAACAATTCGTTTTGGCTTTTTAGATATAGAAATGTCGTGTTTAAATTTTTTATAATTTAAAAAAAAATTAAAGCTCAAAAATTAAAATATGTATGCATTGTTTTGTTATCTTATCAGTTTATTTCAAACATAATTTACAACTAATAATTAGGTACTAAACAAATTTTGTATGAAAATATTCCTATACAGGGTGGATCACAAAAGTTGACCAAAAATGAAGGCTCGTATTCTTCGCCGAATTTTAAGGGGAGTCTTTCCTATAATTTTTTCGTTAAAAAGATACAAGGTGTTCAAAAAATATTTTTAATTTTTTTAAATAATTTAAAAATTAGTGAGTTAAATAATTTGAAATTGGGCACATGTATTTATGTAAACATTGTCCAAAATCTGAGAGCTTTTCCTAAAATTTACAAACTCCAGTGGCGCAGATAAAGGGTATCGGTGGCATATTTTTCTAAATAAAATAGTGCGCCACAGCTTTACGGTAACAACCATGATATTTTCGTAATCATTTTTCAATTTTCTACAAATTAATTCTCTCTTTTATGTTTTCCGAACAAGCCTGATTTTCGAGTTAAACCTTAGATACCCCTTAAAAATCAACAAACAATACGAGGTTTCATTTTTGGCCACCATTCGTGAACCATCCTGTATATTCATGTTGAAATATATTATTTAAATTAATTTTTCATGCATAAATGTAAAAATTAAATTTTTATTGTGTAAACGAAATTAAACAATGGATTTCTAATTTGCACAAACACATAAATACTTTAATATGAAGTATACATTTTTTATTTACAAACAAATATACAAAAACATATATAAAAGTTTTATTAACAATAAACTGACATTATAAAATGCAGTTCAGTATTTATATGATGTTTTATTATTAACTATTAATCTTTAGAGATCTATTTCTTTCTATCATGAATAATAACTATGAGAATACATCAGCATTCACTATAGTAGAACCATGACGTAAATCTATTAAGTTGAAATTGGATAAATCGTTGTCTAATTACATATAAACATCTACAATAGATCTTTGTTTCTTTACACTCCAGTAGCAAGATGTTCTTTAACATCTACGGGGAATTTGTCAGTTATTACAGTGGCACTTATTTGATTTTTTGTGAATATCAAAACAGCGTATTTAATAAACTGCGTCTGTTGAGAAAACAGTTAAAAGCGTGAATTGGAAACGATTTTGTTTTGTTAACAGTGTTGTTGCACTTAGCTGTATCTCATCCAACAAATATTCTATTCAAAAATATAATTCAAAATATTTGTTATATTTAAAATTTGCAATAAAGAAATATCTGTTACACTGTAATCGGTATAAACGTGTTCGTGTATTCCTTTGTTTCAACGCATTTGGTGTCAAGTACATGTAATCAAGTTTTTACCTCTCAATATTATATATTACTACTTGCAGGTGCCTATAACAGATAAGATTATTTAGATAGACTTTTATCATGCATATTATTTGTTAATATTTTGACTGTTGTACAAAACCCAATAACTTGCGAATCACTAAAACCGAGCGTGTGCTAAATTTTATCACATACTTGAACTCGAGTAAGTAGAATGGGAAAACTACGGATTTTTTTTCAAATGTCTGGTACTGAAACTAACGATAATGCAATTTTATTTCATTGTAACTTTCATATTTATAATTATTTACTAAATTGCAAGTTTAACAACCTATTATTTTATTTTATAGCATTAGTGGTAACAGTTCGAATTCTAGACTTCTTTGTAATTCCCATTTTACACGTACCTAAATCTCCATTTGCACAACATTTCAGCTATTCATTTTAAATTATAATTGCAAAACGGCTCGCGAGCGGATAATGGAATAGTTCTGATTTGAATAATTCATGAATATTGAGAAATTCTGCACTAAACTGTATGCTATAAATTAAATGATTATAAAACCATATATTATAGAAACAATAATTACTGCAGCTTTATTTTTGTTCAGGAAAATTGTCATGGTAAACCAGGGCATCGCTTTTTCAACTTAATTGATAATTATTTTTCATAGAAAACCTGATTTTGGTGATGCAAATCTTCACAGTCCATTTCTCCAGTCTGTTCTTTAGTTATTTTTGAGACGGTATTTTCATAAATAGTCATTGATGTTCAAATCGACTTTGAACAGGGATTATTGATACTTTTGATTCGCTTTAGACGATAAATATTTACGGTTACTTACTACATACCACGGTATGTTTTTTTGCTTCTGAATATTTTCGGCTTACAATCTGCAGCTTCTAGGCAAACTGCCAGCAGGCACTAGTGTTAACTGTAACTTAGTATTTCATAGTTAGGAGCCGGTATAGCCAATAGAGCCACAGACTGGTAAAGACAGGATCTGGCAGTGATTGGCGTGGCGCCCAAATGATTTATTTCGGTGCAGAAGAGCGTCTTTCAACATTTTTTTTGTAAAATTTTATCACTTTTATTTATTCTACTATTTCTGCTTTTGTTGGATACTTTCTTTATATTCCTACCTTTTTCTATGCCTCCAAATAGAAAAGAGTAAAGTAATTGTATTTACGTGATTTTTGTTTAATTTTTAAGACTAACTATACTGTATTATTGTAACAAAGTAGGTGTGACAAGAACAATAAATTATTTAAGGTTAAAAATAATCTAAGTAGTGTTTACCAGGTAGTGATATATTGTAAATCAAATGGAATGAGTCCTCTTCAGGGAGAATTAAGTAATCACTTAAGCAAAGTATGGAAATATTTTTAAAAATATCATTGTATATTATACCTCAGATATTAATGGGGTTAAACAAATTTCCCATGGTGTGCTTCACATATGAGTTATAGAAAGTTCGAGAAAATAGAAACAAAAAAAATTGACGAGGTTATACATATTTCATTTAAATAATTATTCGTCTTGGTTGTTTCCAAATATTTTCATATTTAAAACCTAGAAAAAAAAAATGGATTTTAATCCAACAAAATATAACAGATATCTTTATTGTTTTAATAATTAGTCGAGTACAAATAGATGGGGTTAAAATAATATCAGTTCTTCATATAAATTTTTTTCATTTCAATCAAAAAGTTATTTTTATGTACAGTCTCTAAGCTATTAACTTGAGCATGATGCAAATTTGGTGATCGATAACACATGCGTACAGCTTGTTTTTAATATTGTAAGTGAAACTTCATTATACCCAGAACGCCAGGGACGGACTATGCCCAATGGTTAACAACCCAGAATTTTTGCATAGATGACGATCGCAATCTGTCTGTACAAAAATAAGTTCCCTGAAACATTTGCCAACGATAATACCCTCTTGGTTCGATTCGGTAAAATTAACAATTTAGGAAATATTTGTGATTTTATAGGTACATCGAGCGGCGCCTCCACCATTTTTTGTTTTTAATTTTTAATTGGACATAATTGCTATGTTAGAACCGTACAAATTTTTAAAATAATATCTTAGAAAATTTTGCTGTCTGCTACTGTAATTTTGACTAATCTGTATAATGAATAAATATTTTTTAATATCATAGAATGTAGACAGACAACTATATCACTACAAGAATAATACTGTATCAGTTTATTATAATAAAATTGAATTATTCCTATGTTAATCGTTTTCAAATGTTTATTTGCTGTTTTCTTACTTCAAAAAGACTGTTTATAAGCTTTGTATGAACATTTGTTATAATTTGCTTGTTTGTCTATGCCGTTTCTATTTTTCTTTTAAATTTTCAATAGATAGTTATTTTATTAGTTGTTTTTTTTTTCAAAGTACCTGGTTATGCATGTAGTTTCTGTCTTATATCTATCTATCTATAACAAATGACATATCTTCTTATAACAGGCATAATATAATTTTCCATACCTATTTTTTTTCTTACAATAGTTTGTCAAAGACCAGCGCAATACTACAAGCTATAATTATAAAAAAATATTTGGAAAACATAGTATAACTTGTTTTTTTAAAAAAACACATTTTTCAAAATAAGAAAAATATCAAAAGGCGCCAACTAATGTTTGGATCACGCCTAGATTAAACTATTTTTAATACTCCTCTTATTTTCTACAAGTTGTCATCAAAGCGCACATACGTATTACTAAAAACGTTTATTTTCGAATTTCTCCCGTTCTAAATTTAAACAAGTGGTTATTTCTGTTTGTATTAAAAAAAGGAATGGTTGAAATAGAATCTCATTATTTTTTACCTACGCAGTTGAGTCTGTCTACCCAATCGCGTGTAAATCAATCAGATCTATTAAAGTAGGAGCGCGAGCATTTTTCAATTTGCAACACAACTATAAAAGCGATTGAAATTTAATTAACCATGCCGCAGACATAGCGCGAAACGAGTTATTATTGATGTGAATATTTATATAATTACCCAATTAAGATTGCGTATATGTTCAATGCTGCATCACATTACTGGCTTTGGCAATAAAGAATGTAAATCTTTCAATCGTGAACCAATCTGTTACCACATTTTCATACTTTATTAAAAATTAGGTATCATGGCACGCCTTTTAAGAACGCCCCGTACAAAATGTAATATCATCATAAGGTAGGGTGACTATAATCAATAATTTTACATTAAAAAAATTATTGTATTTATGAACTTCGAAACTGTCATAATATTACACTTATATAGAACATAAGGAGCATTACCAAGACATCTGCTGCAATAATAAAGCTCTGTTACAATGTGATCCAAAGCAGTTATTTCTGGACATATTCATTAATAGGTTGCTATAGGAAAATTCTCAGGTTAAAAGTCAAACATTAATATAGAGATGTATCATACTTTGTACTAAAGAACTTCTCCATGTTTATTAAATTTTTTAAGACATAAAATTATATACATTTTTGATAGTTCACGTCAAAAAGTGACAATGAATTTTATTCAGTTTTAACCACTGAAATACCATAAATATTTTTGGGGTTTAAAAATTCTACTACATTCATTATTATCAACTCTTTCATTGGAAGGAGATCCAAATTTTCCACGTGTATTTAAAACTTTTATTTTTACCCCAATTTTATGACACTTTCTGTTGATATTGCTCTTTGATGTAACTGTATTCTTAGAGTTAATAGCAGTGTTACGAGAAAATAAAAGTAGGAATAGGATTATACGTTTCCATACAAATTTTTCCTAAATTGTGTATTTTATAGTCCCACAGCACTCAGCTAAGTCTATTATGGCAGATTTCACATTAGTTTCCATTATATTTATATACATTTGATGATTATGTACATCAGTATTCGTACTTTATTATTTCGGAAAAGTTCTATTTATATTTCCTCTAATTTCAGTACAAACACGATCTGGCTTGAACCAGATCTATAAATTGGGGATCAAATACTTTGTTTATTTATAAATATTTATGCAATAGTAAAAATGTTTCATAAGGAGAAGATAGGAATCTTTCAAGTAAATTGTACATTACTTCCAAACGCAATAAAAAATATTATTGAGGTTTTAAAATAAAAGATATCTGAAAACATTATTTGTTTCAGTTTTTCAGCTGCTATAAGTTCCACGGAACAACTTACGCATAAGAGTAAGGACAACTCGCATACTGTTGAACTTAAGGACTTGAGAAAGTCCCTTGAAGCTGGCGAATATGATCCCTTTGACTTCAGGGATGTCGAACATCCCACAACGTAAGTATATATATATATTGTATATATAATCATACGTATTAAAAATAATTTAGGTACTTACCAAAAAGCAAAATTCAGTAATTGTTAAACGCACAAGGAATTCGTAGATGTGTACAGATTAATAATTTTTCTGATTATATCAAAAATTACGCGTTATTTTATAAAAAATCCATCGTACTGCTTCTATTATTTTACTGTACCTAAAGACACTGTTAAAACATTAACTTAATTTTATCAAATATCCAGCTGCTGATCTCCAGTTGCTACTTTTTCCTTTCTTTGTCGACGTTTCGTCCTTTTTATTGCGACCCCAAATGCAGTTGCAATATTAACTTATTTTGTAGTTGAAGAAAGTTTTAAATTCGAAATTATGCTTTCATAGAAAAAAATACCTGCCCAAAAATATCGAGCACTCGTATCTAACAGGTAAAAACGTAACTATCGTTAAAATCAAGAGAATTTCGCGTAATAAAGATCACTGAATTATACAAACCTGCCGGAATTCGTAAAATAAATATTTTGCCACCTTAGAGAAGAAAACCACCTCTCTTAAATTATTTATATGTACTCTGATATTTATTGCCAATGTGTAAATTATTTATACAAACCTTACACACGCGCCCAACAATTAAGTCAACGCATAAATCGGACGCATTGTTAGAAAACGCTCTCCGGAAGGTATCATCAGAGCTGTAAAACTATCAATAAAAAATTAAAGGCAAGGTGACGCATGGATTTAATTAGGAAACAATTGACACTCAAGACAACTGCCTGACGCTATTGATTAATGGCGAATTAACTGAATACGACTATAATTGTTTTTTTACTCCTACCACGTCATTGATCGCGTCTCTCGGTTGAAGAATTTTTGGTGGTCATAAAACGAGTTTGAAAGGGGGATCCCAATAATAACTATCAAGATGACTTTTTTATTTGAGTTAGTTTTTTTACAAGAACGTATTGCAAATAAGCCAAGAGCTTACAAAAAGACATTAGAAAAATAAAAAGGTCAATTTTTCCGTCACAGTTATTGTTGTTGCATTTAATTACTTACTTTTGTTATAAATCCCCAAACACTTACAGAGCTGTTGAAAACGTATACGACTTGATGGTTATTTTAGAAAGCGCGAATTTAACTTTTCATTAAACTGGATCGAAATCCTTAATGTAAATTATTTATTCTATCAAGTGAAATATAGCTCAAAGTGCGTCTTACGCAACTGAAATTTTCGTGAATGAATAAAAAAAATGACATTGGGTTACTTTAACTAAAAATACGCAAGACCTATGAACTTATGTAAACATATTAAGAAAAATGTTTTTCTGTTTGTCTCACTGTCGCTATGTCGGATTTATTTTTCTGTTGATCCGGAAGTACCTCAAGGTTCTGTACTTGGCCCCCTTCTGTTTAATATTTTTATAAATGACTTCACACGTGACTTTTTCTGTCGATCACTACTTTATGCTGCTGACTTAAAATTGTTTACGATAATTGGATCTCATGATGACTATGTTTCGTTGAAATGATAATCAACGGCGTATTTACTACCCGACCTAGATCTAGGGGTTATTTTTTCAGTTAAGTTGACGTTTGCTCGTCATATTGATACATAGTTAATAGAACTAGGATCTATTGTCACGACAATTAATATTTGTCTTAAACTTTTTATTAAATGCTTCAGAATTATTTCCGTTGGTAAATACAAGTGGATCATCAAATCAACACCCAAAAAGGCGATGCCTACCTCAAAAACTGAAAGTAATGACGTGTCCTTAGTCAACACGGCAAGACTTCGCCTTTGCAACGCCAATTTATTTCAGTCGCTTATAAAAATAACGCAGGAGATTCCTAAGTGGTGGACTGGATCTGTTCCAGATGAGCTAAAATCGACTGACGTAACATTTGGAGAATCATTCATTTACGTCACCTAAAAATACAGAAATAGAGAACTTTGCTTTCGGAGGTTGTTACGACCAAATGTACAACTAATCGGTATTTAGAAACATAGAATATGAGTTGGATTGGAAATGATTACAAACTTTTAATTTGAATGGGAACTGATGATAAATTCTCAGCTATCAGAGATGGTCAATTTTAAGCTCATGATGATGTTTTGTCAAACAGGGTTCTCATATTTATAAAACGCAGAAACTGCACATAATTTATTGCGTAATACTATCTCGGAAGGTTAAAATCACTAAGCGTGATTAGAGGAAGGAAGAAAACGTTTTGATCAGGCAGATTTTAGTGGCAAAAAATTGTTTAATGTAGAGATACCAATTTTATGCTTGAAAAAATATAGAATGTTGCCACTTATTAATATGTTCTGGGAAGAGCAAAGCAATCTTTTTTGTAATTGCATTTATTTTCGACAGAAGTTAAAAGAATTATGAAAATGTTTTCTCGTCTTTGGAATTTCGTCAACAGTATTTTTATTTTTTTTATTTCGCGACGGATGAGTTCTCGTATAAGCAATTAAACAATTTCAGTAGTTGTTACGTGTGTGTTGAAATTTAGCCAGTAGCTAGCAATTAGGCGTCAAATTATAAGGTACAAGATGGATTAATTGTGAGAATTGTATATAGACAGATATAGCTCTGATGATAAAGGAAAATTACATCATGATTAACGTAACATCAATCATCACAAAAGGCATAAATTTGAGTGCCGCGATATCATTAACGTTGGCAATTATTAGCATCATAACATACAACGCGTTAATAAAGTAACAGTGGAATTGTACTGGACATATTTTTCCGAAAAGTATGTAGTTTATTCTATGGTTTTCCATTAAAGTAAAAATGCGACTGGGTAAAAATGAAAATGTAATTATCGATTATAAAATCACAATATTAATTTGAAAAACTACAATATTTTTGCAAGTAATGCAGATCAAAGAGTTTTGACATAACTGGAACAATAAGCTCCGATATATCTTAAAGATTTTATCTATTTCAAAAGATATTGATACTTGAAAATTCTAAATGATTCAGTTGAGTCATGCATGAGCATGAAATACTGACATTTTTTTCCTCCATTACAAAATACGTACTTAAGATTAAATGAAAATGCAGATATGACAATTGCCAAAATTACTATTGTATTTAGGACTTTCATATTACAAAATCAAGATAAGCTATAAGTGTTTGCAAAAAATTAAAATAGGAAAGTGCAGACTTGAAGCTGATACGAGTTAGATTATTTCACTAAAGAGATGAAATAGCGTCACCGAACATACTTAAAACCATGCTTATCAAACAACTAAAAGATTAGAAATCATTATGAACTTGAATATGATCTACCCAGTCGAAGAAACTGATACTGATTATAAATTAATACAAACAAACAAAATAGGCTCAAAACTTTCCCTTAAAGTCTTAAACAGATTTATTTCGGTTCCAGAATTAAATTGTATCAATCCAACTTTACGAAATATTCCTTTAATTTTCAGTAATTTCGAGACACTCCTGCACCTTCTCAAAGGAAGCTTGGGCACTGGCATCCTGGCTATGCCGATGGCCTTCTACCACTCAGGATACGTTATCGGTGTCATAGCTACCGCGTGTATAGGACTGTTGTGTACTTACTGCATCCACATGCTCATCAAATGTGAATATGAGCTTTGCAAGAGACGGAAGATTGGTTGCATGTCGTATCCTGCTACGGCCGAGTGCGCTTTCCTTGAAGGACCTCCGTTGCTGCAGAAACTGGCACCCTATATGGTGTAAGTAAACGCATAGTTAATTTAATGATGAAATTGGTAAAAATTCGATGACAAAGCAGACGCACACTTTCCAAATCTCTACAACCAAATATACATGTAAGCACAGATCATTGCGTGTCATCAAATTTGAAAATTCCAAAGTTCATATACTTGACCATCTGTATTCTGTTCCAGGCACGTAACCAATGCCTTCCTTCTGCTATACCAGCTAGGAACCTGTTGCGTCTATACAGTATTTATCGGAGATAACATACAAAAAGTATTAAAAGAATACGTCGATGGCGTGGATGAAAGGCTAATAATGTTGGCATTTCTTCTACCTCTCATCCTAATTAATTACATCAGAAACCTCAAACTGTTAGTTCCTCTCTCTTCGATTGCCAACGTACTTACGTTTATAAGTTTTGGTATTATCCTGTACTACCTCATAAAAGAAGATATCACGATTGAAGATAGGGAACCCGTTGGAAACTGGAGAAGCTTTCCTCTCTTCTTTGGGACAGTGCTGTTCGCTTTGGAAGCCATCGGAGTGGTTAGTATGAAATCTTTGCCGTGTCACATCTTTCTAATGCCGTTTGGTGTTTTAGATTATGCCCTTGGAGAACGAAATGAAGACTCCAAAGTCATTTGGCGGAACTTGCGGGGTTCTCAACATCGGCATGATCTCGATTATAATCATGTACCTACTTATGGGCCTCTTCGGCTATCTGGCGTATGGTTCAAAGATACAGGGGTCGATTTCTTATTCCCTCAACGAAAAGGAAATGTAAGTACGGTATTCTTTAATTATGAAACAGATATTAATAAACGCTTCTGTGTTTTTTAGACCTGCCCAAGTGGCCAAAATATTGTTGGCTTTGACCATATTCATCTCACATTCCCTTCAGATGTACGTAGCTATAGACATTACGTGGAACCAATATCTGTACAGTAAATTGGAGAAGAATAGGTACAAGATCATTTACGAGTACCTCATCAGGACGTTTCTTGTTATAATCTGCTGTAAGTATATGTCTTTTAGTCGCTGAAACACTTGTAATTGGAGTTAAAATTTCTTATTCTCACATTCGTCTTCTCCTTTTAGTTTGTTTGGCGGTGGCAGTACCATATATCGACTTGTTCATCTCCCTTTTTGGTGCCCTGTGTTTGTCAGCCCTTGGACTTGCGTTCCCAGCCATCATCGATACCAGCACGTATTGGGACACGCTGAAAGGAGCAAGGGGGGCACTGATCCTCACGAAAAACTTCTTCATAGTCATATTCGCTATTTGTGGATTGGTGGTTGGTACCTCGACTAGTTTAGAGGAAATCGTTAAGAAGTTCTCGAGTAGTACCAATTCAACCGCGTGATAATAACAGTGATACAAGTGAGATTATAGTTTGATAAGTCGATGTGCCTGATTTTAGTATTTTGGGAATACCATTTGACGCCACTGATGATGAGGTTATTTAGAAGAATTTATTTATTTTGAATATATAACGTTACATAAGATTTTCGTTTTAATTTGTATTATTTAGACGTGAGAACCAAAAATTCTATATAAAATAATCGTTTTAATGTGACGCGTCATTATGACTTACATAATAAATAACTTCATTTTTTTTAATATTCTTGTAGAATCTAGTAAATACAACTTAGGATATAGGCGGTCAACAAACAAACATTTTTTACCACTCAAACCGCTGCAAACGATAATTTTCCCAATGTTAAGAAATTTGACATTCCTTGATTTCAGTGTAAATACGTGTGTTTATAATGTTTCAAATTTTGTAACAAACAACTCTATTTCCATTAAATTCTATGAACTAGCAAAATAACAGAAACGAAACAAATACCTACTGATTAAGGGGTACATTTTCGTAATTTTTATGTGGTTTCCCATATTTTTTGTATTTTTTAATTAAAAAAAGAGAAATCTTAAGAGTTAGTTATTTATCGAAGGTAGCTACAATAGTTTAAAAATGTAATTTAATTGGAGACAATAGAAATTTAATTTATTCTTTTTTATTTTTCATTGTGTTGTTATAAATTCTGACTTCGGTTAACAGGGCATGCTGAATAAGGACCTATGTAGATATTGTAGATAATTTTCTGTGAATGTGTTTTTTAAGTAATAATTAATATCTATATTTTCTTATGTAAATATTTATTTGTAGATATTAGAAATATTAGTCTCTAGGAATAAAACATCAAAATAATTTTGTTGGGTTTAATTTACACACTACTACAGTCGGCAGAAAAAAAGAAGAAGAAGAAAAGAGAAGCTCCTTTTCTGGGACAAAGAATTATTAGTTTTCATAAAGAATATGCTTTTATTTGTGCTTTCAATCAATTCAAAACTGGCATTGATACCATTTGAATATGGTAAAAGAAATATCTCCTTTTTTTGGCAGAACTACGCCAATAAAATTACCACAGAAATTTTCTTACATAGTTTTCGAGAAAATCGCAAAGTTAGATCTTTTTTGACGGTAAATATCATCTTTCTAAAAATTAATTCCGTGTTCTTTCAAATATCTCCAGTTCTAAGAAATAAATTTAGAATAGAATAGAAAATATATAAAATAAAATGTATCGATTTTGTATTATGAAGATCGTTTTGTGCTTAAATTATAGCTCGAATTTAAATAATTATAATTCTCTTAAAACAGGAACTTAACTTTTAATCAAATTATGAATTTGAAAAATATGTAATTAAAGTACCCAAAGATTCACGTCGTCCAAATAAACATACGTATTTACGTAATAATTTAGGTACTTACCAAAAAGCATAATTCAATAAATTTTAAACGCACAAGTACAAAACAAACTACAACATATAGCAACCCCTGTTTTATCCTTGAATACCTTTTTATCCACCAAAACCGCGAATGCGAAGTAGAAACCCTCCCAGCGAAGCCACGTAGTGCGTCCGATGGACTGTAGATGGACTAGAACAGCCGCACCGCGACGCCAGGCACCACGCGTAAAATGGCGACGGCGACGTCACTGTTGCGTCTATTCCTGGAGGTGTGTCGTTACGGAACCCAGCCGAGCAATCCATCTATTTTTGTACAGGTTAAAACGCGTTTGTATGGTAAGTGGAAGTAGAAGATTGATTCTGCATGCGCTTGAATAATTGTCGTGTATGTAGCAAAACGGAACGATTCGCAATTGTAAGGCGGTAAATCAGTTGATAGATAGATTTTTTATGGTACATGATTTATTACATGGAATTGACACGAAGGACAATTTGCTATGTACTGACGTATTAGACTATGACCTGGGTTAAATCGATAAATCAACTCGTTTGTGTATACACGTGGTAATGTATTGTACCGAATGAATCACTTTTTATGGGATTTAAAACCGAATTTACTCACTACTAAAGACATATATTTTGGAACCGATGAAATATTAAAATCAAATAACTTAAACGCAAAAATGTTTTTTTTAGTTAATAGTCGTCAATTTAAAATTTCGCCTTTTTTTTGAGACATCCTCAGGACTAAAAGCTTTTTGGCACAACACAATTTAAACAAGTAGCCAGAAATACCACCATACCACTAACTGTATTAATATCACTCTTGAGAGAAGAGAACAAACTTCTTCTAGACTTCAGTTTGGTCTGTTTGCAAATTGTTTCGTTTTCAAAAAGAAAATTATGGTTAAATATTATCACGATCAAAATAAAACTCCATAAAATGTCAGACAATGGCAACCATGACATGTTCTTGTTTGTGGAATTGCTAGTTTAAAGATTATCTTGTTATGTCGAAGTATATCGTTATTGGAAAATTTCTAGCATCGAAATAGGACCGCACTTTGGTTTCTGCTCTTGCCAAAAGTTACCTAACGTTTAAATATAGAAGCAAATGCTATCCATTAATTTATTACTCACTAGATAACTCCATGATCGTCATTTTACTGCCAAATATAATACATCAACTTCAGATTTAAAGCTTAGGACGTATATTGTGTCGTCAATTCATCATCTTAAAAAGAAGCGCATATAAAAAAGAACCCCTAGTGACCCGAGCACCTAACATAAGTTTTCATAAACTCCCTTTATGCTATGTATAGTCAGAAGTGGATAACATGTCGAAATAATGATGCCACAGTACTTATGTCTGATATCTGGCAGGGCCAGAGTGTTGAGGTACCACTGTTTCCAATAATTATTTATAATCCGTTCAAATGCACTAAAACCCCACTAATACAAGTTTCAATTGAATATATTATTTATTTGTTTCGTATTTATTACTTTTCTAGCTGTGTTGTTGTTGAATTCTATCACATTTTTACTTTCTTAACTATTTCTTTCATCGAAATATTTATTGGAGATGACCGTTGGTTCTAAAAATAAACACCTTAAGTCACTTAAGTAGTGCCAAGACTGGTAATTTGTCTATTATTTCGAGTGGCGTCTGAGACAGCAGATATTTTTTGTCTAATTTTCTAATTTAAATCACTAGACGAGTAATCTTCTAAACTGTTTTCCGCTGCTATTTATAACCAACAACAAACGACATAAAAGGAACTGTACAAAAATTTTTTACAGAATTGTTTCTAGTTTAATAAAGAAAGCTATTATCTCTTTCCATGGCCCAATGTATAGTTTTGCAAAAAAATACTTCGTAGTTCTCTAAAGTTAAAATTACTTTATAAGCTGACGTAGTACAAAGTATTTGCGTAGTATATATTCAGAGTATCAGCTTGCCTAAAGACAGTAGGTAGCTATAGATATCAGCTCATTTGATCGATACTTGCTGAGGTCTTTGGTACATTTCACAGGTGAATACATACATTTTTAAACCCCCTGAAAATGAGGATAACAAAGGGGATCATTATTGAAAGTAACCAAGTGTGACTAACTTAATTTTCTACTGTATCGAACATACGTATACAAGGAATAAAGTATATCTTTTGCTAGTGAAAAAGTATTAAACATATCTTCAAAGTAAATTCTTGATATACCTGTATGTATAGAAACATTTATTTTCATTGTAGTATATCATTATCATTAAGAACGTTTTTCAAAATATTTTCATAGAAACAAAAATTTATCAGTTTCGAAATATGTCAAATTATAAGAGATATTAGAACTTTCAAATTTAACTCCATTGTTTCAGTAGACCTGGGAAGCATATTCAAATCAATAACCATTTTGGTAAAATGAACAGAGATATATAGGAAATTTTATTCTCTGTTTGTAAGGATTACAAAGTACATATTTCGAAAACATGGCGTTGTTACAAGACAACATTTTATTAAAATAGGTTTACATTATTTTAAATATAATTGGAACTATTACCAAGACCAGACCATTGTTTCCCTTTTGAAACTATAATTCAAAATTTCTGCTTCCAAATTTTTGTCTGGAGAGAAAAAACCAACACCTTCACCATTACCAAAATAGATAGACTAATGTTTCCCATTTGAAACTATAATTCATAATTTCTGCTTACAAACTTTTGTCGTCTGGAAAAAAAATCAGCACCACCACCATTATCAAGACAGATAGACTAATCCCATTTGAAACTATAATTCATAATATCTGCTTACCAATTTTGCCTGGAGAGAAAAACTCAGTACCATCATCATTACCAAGACAGATATACCACTGTTTCCCATTTGAAACTGCTGTTCATAATTTCTGCAGATTTGCAACTTAAAATATTAAATCCCAATATATTACATAGAAGAAATGACGAACTAGAACGAGCTAGATCCAAGGTAATATATTAAAATTGAACCTATACAAGGATATAGTCTAGTTCCAAAGGAAACTAAACAGCCTGAGGTAGTATGCTGCTAGGGATATGCTTTATAGTAATCCAAAAGAGATACAGAGAGAAATAGGTTTGAAAACGTAATCTGAACGAAATTACCCGTCTTTCGAAAGAAGTTTTGTATATTGCTTTAAGTATCTATCCGAAAATGCAGTGGAATGCAAAAAATCGTCTGAATTTCTGTTCATTCCGTTCAGTATTGGAAATTAACAATATTTGGTTGAAAAAACACGAAACTTATGTCTATAACTCAGGACGTGCTTTGGTGATTTTTTACGTTTTGGCAAAACATTCAGTTCCTGTTTATTTTTCTCGCTTTTCTACGCATAGATTTTGGGGTAAATATATAAGCACGTGATGGGTTAATTTTTTAAAAATAGAACACTTATACAATGGGAGGTGTGTCACTTTCAACAACACTGCTATTGACGTTACCACTGACGGATAAGAAAAATTACAACCAACGCCATTCCATAGGCCTGAACTGGCCAATTTGGGGTAAATAACACACACGTCTTAGCACATGACTTGGTATAAATAGCAGCAAATAGGATTCGAAGGTGTGTCTTTGTTTTGTTCAAGTCACTTTGACGAAGTGACGAAAAGACGTTATTTTAAATTAAATGTTGCACGGCTTGCGTCAGTTCCGTGTCGTCCCATATTTAACGTACGCATGAAATTAACTGTCCATGATTGTCGATTTTTATGAATGATTTGACCTCGCAGTGATTGTGTTAAGTTGATATTTATATTAATGGCGATTACATTGCCGCAAACAACGAAATTCCCCTAACGGCATATCTAATACACAAATAAATTAATTGACTGGAAAAAATTGTATAACGTTCAATTAGTACTTGTTATTAATCTGAAACGTGGCACAGTTGGGAGCCAGATATTTTCAACGACAAAACAAACTGCTTTAGATTTTCTCAAGCACGTGTAAAACCAAACAAACCCACTGCAGCTAATTAAATCATTAAAGTGGAAAATAGAAATCAAAGTAAATCTTAGTTCAGAAATTTAATAATCTGAGTATTTCAATTTAAACCTGATACAACTGAATCTCAATTCCTTGACGCTGGTTAGGATGCTTTGATAAAGGGATCATTTCCTGAATTCGTACACAAATGAAGAGGCTGTTTCGTTGGACAGGAAACAGATGCCAAAGGCAATAGGGTATATTTGGAGCATCACTTTATTAAAACGGAAAAAGTGAATGTGATATGAATCCTGGAATAGAGTAATATATCAGAATAGGAACCAGTAAGCTGTTGTAAACTTCAGAGAGAGAATGTAGAATTTTATAGGGTCAAAATTATAGTTGAACACATGCTTGGAATGAACTGAATCTAATTCGCTCAATTTGCGAGAAAGAGAATCGCTTTTAAAGTAATTTGGGTATGTATTTTTGTATTAATTAGATTTAGACATACCATTTTTGGTTTTGTTTTGAATAACTATTATTACTAGCTGTTTGGTAGGTATTCCTGGTGTAATTAAATGCTAGTCGATGCACATAGCCCACAGAATAGTTGTTTCCTGCAATATCAGCAGTTAGGAATCTCGTGTTGGGGTCTAGGTACCTAGATTTTTGACTTCGTGTAATAAAACTCTTTTTTTTTGAATTTGAATACTTAAAAAAAAAGGTCTAAAACACGTGAGCTAATAATAGAACAGGTAGAACATTTTTTTAAATCTCATCACCCCAACAACAAATTGACAGTTCAATCCGAAGCAAAAGACCCAACTTGTCGAATAAAAAACAGGTGCGTAAGCAAACAAATGCACTGCTACGCATCTGACCCAGAAGCAGACAACGTCCAATTTCGCGGATGCACTTTACGTAATTATACGCAGGGAAAAAAGCGGTTTCGTGCGCCTCATCTCTTTGTTTTCGTACTGTAGGATAGTGGAAGACAGATACACCGAGACCAAATAGATTTTATTAATGGCTCTGCATGAGATTCGGACCAATTGATGGCGCGCAGTCTGTGAAGGGGCACGCAGTGGTGGACATCATCCTCGTAGAGTGCGTTATATAAGTCGCTGTCTTCCTGTTTCGGAGCACCAGCGGGCCGGATATAGTCGAGGGGTAACGTACTCAGTCAATTTGCTTTAATTTGTTCTTTCGTGGTGTGGATGTTCTATTTATGATCCAATAATTTGAGGCATTTGTATTTGGCAATAAGTATTGTGTTCTTTATATCAAAAAATTCGCGATGGAGGTTCATCTGATTTATTTTCTAGTTTAAATCTGATATTCACTTTTAGGAGTTTTCCAGCTTGCCTATTTAAGATAAAAAATTGGATAAAATTCACAAAAAGTTGACAATTTTTTTATTATACCTTTTGCTACGTATTGAAAGTTATACAGGTATCTCGCATATGAACAAGACACAGGGCAGGTACATGTAGGGGTGTCCAAAATATTGTAATAACTGAGGACTTATTTGCCCTAAATTTCGAAAAAAATTAATATCCTGCAACACTTTACATTAAAAGAACCAAATTTGGTACATGAGTTAGGTTTATTATTAATCATCTTTGACTATGATTTAAAGTTAATTGAAGCACTACAAGGTGTACATTGGAAATGACTCACCCCTAAAATTGTACTGAACTTTTTTTTTTCATTGACCGAATTGAAAAATAGTAATATTAATTGAGAGTAGAATTTAATTTATTTTTACTCTTGTTAAATTTAAAAAAACTATGATTTTCAAGAAAAACCGTATTAACTGACACAAGATTTTAAGTGTTCATTAGAAAATAATCAGAAAGTCAGTAGGAGGCTTTATCTTTCAAATTTGACAATTGGCCAAATAAATTTTATTTCACTTCTCTCCTAATTCTACAAAAATAAACAAGTACCTAGGTAGTTTTTAAATAAACGAATACTTTATTAAGTAAAAGAATTAAATAAGAAAAATAATAATTGATATTTTTTCAACAACAATCAGAGACAATTGTTGAAATAAAATAATTTTAGTACTAACTGACGAGTTTGAAAGATAAATTCATTGCCTACTTTTCAATTATTTTTAATAAACGCTGTTAACTTGAATACCGAAAATCGCTGCTGTAATTTTGCTGCGATTAAAACAACTAATCGACATGTTCGCATAAACAACTCAAAAAAGTTTGGCGTAGAATTTTATTTACACTCTGTATGAAGAGACTTGTAAAATTTTTTTTTTAAATTTATTTACACTGTATGAAGAGACTAGTAAGTAAACATACACATCTTTCTCCAATTACAACAACTAGCGACAACAGAAGATTGTCTATTTTTTGTGTTCGTTTTTACTTAATTAAATTTATTTATGTTTTTTTTTTTTTTTCATTTGAGAGATAATACAACAGTGAATTTTATGTGTCGATATAAAAGTACCTGTCAATTACCAAGACCTATAGGCAATTTTCTCATAATTAGGGTAAGAATCCTATAACACTTTTCTTGCCTTTGGGATTGGTTTAGAAACTTGTTCATTCTTTACCGTCGAAATTAAATTACCAATTGAAGCTTCTAATTATTAATTTAGAATTGTCCTTGCAACAAGATATTTAATGACATTATTAGAGTTCATACCACGAACTCATTTGAATAAAATTGTGTATTTTTAAGTAATCCATGAGAAAATACGGACCAGTTAGATGTCACTTGAATATAGCAAACAGTAATTCCTACTTTTTATGTAAACAATGATTATAGAAATGAAATGTATCAATTTTAATTCTATCCCTTGTCAGAATCACTACTCTAAAAATTATTTTATTACTTCCTAGCTCCAATATTATCACCACATAAAATAACGAAAATATTGATTTTAGCAATCACGTAATTGTTTTTAATATTTTTGAATGTACTTATTTACGTTTGCATGTCCACATATTTTAGATAAATAGTTCGACTTTAGACGTTAATTTGCCAAAGGTCATAGTCTCAAAAATACACATGCAAACTTATAAAATAAACATATCTCAGTTCACTGACAAACAAACATCAGTAGCGTATTGATAATGTGCTGTTATTTTAAAGATCTTTGCCAAAATAACAACTTTAGTTATTAATTTTCAAAAAAATGTAAAATAAACACCTAAACACACTACGTTAAATCTTTAAATCGTTGTAAAATAAATAAAAAAAAGTTGGAGATGCCGGGGATCGAACCCGGGGCCTTTCACATGCAAAGCGAACGCTCTACCACTGAGCTACATCCCCTGTCTACAACACTTGCTGATAACTGGTAATCTTGCTATTTTGTAGTATGATATGCTTCATCGATACAATCACACTAACTTGTAATATCAGTTTGTTTATGTCACATTAAGCCGGCGAATTGGCTGAAATAGGAATACTTCTGCAAGAAATGTCTTTCTTATCGCCGAACAGTTATCAAAGCGGCTCGGAATAGCTTCCTAGAATAAAACTAGATAGCCATTGTTTACACCACACAGATATGGATAAAGTTTGGTCAGTCTCTTGCAGACAACGCGTGGTATATTAAAATATTAGAGCAACAAACGCTATCGGTGTGGGTGACGACCTCATTCATTTAGCTTTTTAATTAATGACTTTAATAAGAGTTGTTCCTACTGTTTTGGTATCTAATTTTGAGAGTTATATAATTAGCAAGAGAACGTAATCGATCAGAAATTTACCTGCAATCGTTTATGTTACGAAATGGAGATTCATCTTGGCATGAAATTGAGATTAATATTTGTAATAATTAGATTTACGGTGAAAGTTTGGACAATGACATTTTACGCATTTTCGAAACATAACAAGGCTGATAGACCAGGGCGGATCTGTTTTGAGGTGGATGGTAGATGCGAGAGGGGGCAAGCAATTTTTTTCTGGATTACCTTCAGTACAACTCACATAATAAAAGTATAGATCCCTAGATCTGGGCGAGGTTCGGATCATTTTCAAAATTGCAAAAATGTGCAAAAAATTTTAAAAAATACCTATTTTATGAGGTTTTTACTTATATCTTGGAACCTATGCACTTTGGAAGAATATTGAAGAGGAACAAAGTTTTAGAATTGAATTTTCCACAATATACTGCAACTTAAAAATGTTTAAATTTTTAAAGTTAACACAGTTAATTTTTTTTTAAAGAAGCGTCTTTCCGAATACTTTAAAATTATAATTTTTGAAACAAACTAAATTGCAAATTGATAAATGTAATCTAATTGTTTAAAAATAAAACAAAACAGTGTTAACTTTAAAAATTTACTGTGGCCGTTCTAATCAACCGATTTCAATTTTTCAAAAACCATTTAAAAAATTGAGCGGTCTTTTCTATGTGAAAAAGTTTTCAAGTATCTAGATACTTTATTTGAGGCTGTGCAACATTTTGAAAATTCGAAAATTTGTTTCAAAATCATTTTCAAAAAATTATTTTGCGAAAACTATCGAACGGATTTTAATGAAATTTGGTATATTGTTTTATTAAACTCTAAAGTGTTTTTTTACCAAACTTAAAATGCCCTCAGAGCAATTAAAATATTTTTAAAAAATTATCCAAAAAACTTGATTATTTTGCCTTTTCTTTTATCAATTATTGCTATTTTGCAACACCGGTAATAAATTTAAACATTTTTAACTTGCAGTATATCGTGCAAAATTCAATTCTAAAACTTTTTTTTGAATTTGAATGAAAATTGAATATAAAATCAGAATCTATTAATTAAACCAGTATTATTCACATAACTTCATATTTTCTTACGAAAAACTAGAAAGTGTTATAAAATTCCAGAATTTGAACTTGGCTCGGTGCTACATCGGGTTAGTGTATATAGATGCTATTTTTACTTTAATATGTTGGCTTAAAACGAGAAAACTTTGGACTGTGGTGAATCAATTCTCCGAGAGATTCCACGTATATAGACAAGGGTTGCTTGTGTTGATTCAGTGTCATCGTAAATAACTCTTGGTCAACTTTAACAAGTGATTAAGATTTGTTTACTTATAAGGTTAACTTTATGCTTTGTGACAGTGAATATAAAACATTGAACAAACCTGATGTACATTAAGAAGCTAAAAAGTTACAGTGGAAACGAGCAAATTTCAAAAAAGTAAAGCATCTGGTGATAGCAGTTGATTTAAAATAAAAAAAGAGAGAAAACAGTGAGTATTTTCAAACTACATCTTATCAAATGCAGTCAATGCTGTTGATAAGATTATTTCGAAAAAAAAATGTTTGAATTAGCTTAATTTTAATTAGCTTACAATACAGTAAACAGTGCGAGAGGAAATACTAGAACATGTTAAAAAAATTCACATCGATAGTGTCAAAACGATATTTTTTCTAAAAGTTCATACATATTTTTGCTCATAAATGTTTATTAAATCCATAGGAAAGGCGGCTATCTGATGAAACAACGTGGAAAAAAAGTTATGTTTGTAGATTGTAGTAGCTGCTTTTTACGAGTTGGTATTTAAAAGGCGATAAAAATATATCCCCTTTTTTTATAAACATTTCTGTAAGCTTGGTCTGTTAGCAATTGTCACTGTTTTGATAGCATATAACTATTATATTAGAAAAAAAAAATAAGTCATAGGAGTTTCTTTGTTTCTCGCAGGATTGTTCAAAATAGAAAACTACAAGTCATTTTTATGAGTAAAATTTGTTTCCTGTGCCATATTAGTGCAAGAAGTTTTGAAAGGACTTTTATGGTTCATCTAATTCTTATAACGAATTGAATTGATTCATACAAAATGTCGGTTAAATAAACTTTATTTCTTTTTAATTTTTAAAATTGCTCTAAATATATCAATCCATTGAATGAATCTCGTTCAGTATATTCCACTGGAAAAATTATTTTTAAATTAGATTTAGATAGTTATAGTTGTATTCTGAGCTGAAATAATGTTATACGATATACTTTAAATAATCTTTTTTATTAACAGATAATTTTATTATAAACACATTTATATTTTTCTAACTCAGAGAAACATTTCATATTATTCTGCTATTGTTTTTTTTTGTCAGAGTCAGATATTACATTTTTGTTCATATTAAAAAATGCAGTAGCTTAAAAAACAATTTAGTCAGTTGAGTTCAGGAATTTCTATTTTTGTAATTCCATGGCATGGCATGATATAAATCTAATGCTGTTTTGGTTTGGAGAAATCTGTTTATTAGCACGTATATGTCTCAAAAATCTTAGTTTATAGCTACATAATTTTTTTGATAATAAATTTCAAAAGAATTTCCGAAATTTTTCCGTGATTTTTGACAGACTGTATTTAAGTGAAAAATAGTCGTATCGGGAACTAAAAAAAGCGTTTTGAAGCTCAAAGATTCTAGTTTTTAGATCTTTCGGTCGAAATTTTTAGGAGCTACAGTTATCATGCAATTCTAAGAAATAGAACGACAAAAAAGTTTTACAAATTTTCTTTTTTTTTTCTGGGTCTACGGACTTGGAGAATTTTTTTTCAGCTAAGCCATTGCATGGACCAGATAGCTTGTTTATTCAGCTTCAATTTCCTTTTTTTTTTTAATTTCGATACGACCATTGACCAGAAAATTGACGGCTAAATTAGAAATATTCACGAAATGACTAATGTTAAGCATGACTTTTACAGTTCGATATACCCAGAAGAACCCTATGAAGTTACAGTCAAACTTTTGAAAAAATCACGTTTTTGAGTTTAAACACTTCATAATCATGATTAAAATGGAAAAAAAAACTTTTGAGATTTTCTCACAATTTTACCGCAAATAACGTTTAAATTGATGAAAAGCAGGAAAGATTCCCTTTCACTTCACACAATTCACCAAAGAATACGAGGTTTCATTTTTGGTCACCATTTGTTAATCTCCCTGTATATTTGCTACAACTGTAACCAACACTTAGCAATCTTTGGTAGGAAAATACTGTAAGGGTGGACATCAATAGTTTATCGCATTTTGTAATTTCAGGCCAGAAAATGTATAGGGTTTAGGTGTTGGCAGATAGTTGGCTGGAGAACTAACGAAAGAAGACCATTGGTAGCTCCGCTTCTCGACGTCAAAGAAAGTGAAATTCAAGATGCCTTCTGAAAATTTGGAGAACGTGAAGCTAGAGCCCATAGGGACAACCAAGTAAGTATAAGAAAATTATAGTTATGAGTTGTATAAATATTACATATATTTAAAAAAAAATCAATACCTTTTTATATTAGCAATATTCATCATGTATGTATTAACAATAATGTACATTTTTATTGAAATAATTCTTTGAGGAGTTCGTGTTTTTTAGGAGACAGGGTAAAATCGTATTATACAAAGCGTTAAAGATCAGTTTATTTACAATTTGTTTTTCTGTTGCACATAATTTTTAGAACAAACAAATTTTTTTAGTATTCCAATATTAAATATATACGGAGTGTTTTCTAAGTAGATATGTTTAAAGCATTTCTGGAAAAAACAAAAATAATTAAAATTAAAACGACACTTGAGACAACACCCTGAATATATGCGACCAAATTATAACTTCACACTGTTTTGTTAAACATTTGTTTCCATTTTCTTGTTCAAAAAGCTCACGAAGATCATAATTCTGTCACATTCTGCACTTTCTTTCAGAAACGGCAGTTACCGTTTGGACCTCCCGGACTTAGGGTAATTTTTTTTAAAAGCAAGCTTTTGTATATATGTTTACAAAGAAAGCAAAGCTGGTGGTGGTTATTAAACATACTCTTAGTTTTATTCCGTATTGCAGTTGTGTGCAGATCGCTGTAAATGAGTAGAACCGCAGTAATAAGCACAATTTTTAATTTTTTTCCAGGAAGCTCGACGAGCACTCCGTTCTCTTGGATGAAGGGTAAACAACCTTTGTTTTCAGGCTTCTTTAGTTTTTCGCAAGAGTGTGGTAGTTCTGGTGGTGGCGTTTTACTTCGGAGCCGTCAGTTTAGTTAGGTTCTATCCCAAAATTCACGCGAGATTTGAAATTTGCGACATTTGAGCGGTCAGGTGTAGCCAGCGTGACAGCTGACAGTTACAATGTAACGAGCGTTCAAATAAAAACGTGGTCAAGTTGGTTCTGAAAATTTGGACGTAGGGCGTAGCATATAGCAAATGAACTTAAACGTCATCTGTCAAAGCGCTATATCGCCGCTATCAATTTGAATATTTTCGTTTTAAAAAGCGTTTAAAATGGTGTTTTCTCAAGAATAAAAAGTGTTTATCATAGAGTCCTACTTTAGAAATGGACGCAAGATTGATGGAATATGGAAGTATTCTATTGAGGAATGTTTCATAGAATTTCAAAATCAATTTCCCGGCGTTGTTGAGTACAAAATTTTTCAAAGTGCAGTTCAGCGTTGTGTTAATGTTTTTCGTGAAACGGGCAGTGTAACAAGAAAAGAAGGAAGCGGTCGACCTAAAAAGCGGACTGAAGAATTAAAAGAAAATGTCCAACAAATAATGGAAAATGCGCCAAGAACTTCTGTACGTGTTTTATCACAAATGGTGGGAGTATCAGTCGGTACCTGCCACACAGTGTTAAAAAAAGATTTGCGTTTGTTCTCCTATCGTTTAACTTGTCAGCAAGAACTTCATGAAGTTGATTTTCCGCGACGGGCTGTATTTTGTGAATGGTTTTTAAACAACTACGGTGAACTTCATAATATCACCTTTTTTTCTGATGAAGCCTGGTTTCATTTAAGTGTTATAACAAGGAGGGGGACACTTTCCGCAGCTCCTTTAATTATTATATATATTATTATATTATTGTTATCACGATTATTCTTTAAAATAAAGTTATATAGTCATTAACGTTATTGAAACTGACAGCTCGTTGAGAAATGAGGTTAAGTTGGTCGCTATAAGCTACGCCCTACGTCCAATGTGTCAGAGCCAACTTCGACCACGTTTTTATTTGAACGCTCGTTATAACTAAAAGCCTGTTTTCTATCAAAATTACTTACTATTGCGTGAAGTTTGGGATAACCTTTATTTATATTATCTACGTTATAAAATAAATCACATTAAACTGTAGGCTCTGGTGTATCTTTACAAGCGAATTTAACAAATGGTTCTATTAGATAGGTTTAGAGCACGTTTACACATTGCTTTTTTGAATTAGAGAAACGTTAGATGCTTTAAAAATGTTTTGGTTTGTCAGAACATGTAGCGGGGAATACGCAGTAATTTATTTTATCCACAATCACCTTATAATCGGACTTTTATCTACACATAAGAAACGTCTAAAGTGATACTTTATCCACTAGTGGAATAAAGTAACTTTATTTCAGTAGTAGAATAATGAAAATATAATAAACCTATAATAAATCACATTTAATTTATTTACATATACATACAGGGTGATTCAGTCATAATGTCATTAATTTTAACCACGTATTCGGAAAGCTTAATAAAGACAGAAAATCGGAAAAAAAAATTTTTTACTCGACTTTTAAAAATGAAGGAAATCAACCCATAACTCCCGCTACGAGGGCTGCCCTGCCGATGCCCGGATGCCCGGAAAATTTTGTAACGTAATGTCACGAACAGTTGTCGGCTAAAGGAACAGCGTTGCCAAGTTCAGGTTCAAGCTCGCCAGGTTAGTATTTGACATATAACCGACCACTTCGTACACTCGATGCACCTGGGCGACTACAGCTACTACGAAAACAGCCGGTATTTTAGATTTTAAATTAAATTTGTTGATACGATTTTCCTTTGATAAAAGACCGACAACTTTTTGCTACTACACTCGTATTAGTCTAGGGGCTAGGGGCCAGATAGGTTTCCGTAGCCAAACAGAATTCCACGGCTGCAAATAACTTATTTTTAAGTATTTTGACTTCTCGAAACCAAAAAACTTGGTGGCAAAGCCTGAAAGTGGTCAGTTTAATTGTTGTTAACAAATTGAATGTTTAAATGGCTGTAAAAAGTTTATTTTTATAGCTAGTACAATTTTTTATCTGTTAATTATTACGTTTTCTCACAACAAACATATATTTTTTTGAAAATTAAAAAAAGATTAACTTTAACCAAAGTTATTGCAAATTTAGTGCAAATATATTACATTTTCCGTCTCTGCGCGCACCAATTTTACCATATCTCTGGTTCAATTGGACGGATTGAGACGCACATCTCATTTTAAAACTTAAACTTTATTTTACAAGATAGGTAAGTTCCATTGATTAATTAATTTATTTAAAAATTAATGGCAGCTTAGAAAGTTGTGGAATTTCAACGAAAATGTTGGCTTTATTGGTTTATAAAACTTTTTTTGTTATTCAATTTTTATGAAAAGCCAAAAAAGTTACCGGTTATTGTTCCTCGCATCCTAACAATGATTTCATGCCTTGCTTGATTGTTAGAATGCAAAGAACAATATCCGGTAACTTTTTTGGCTTTTCGTCGAAGTTGAATAATAAAAAAAACCTTATAAACAATTAAAACCGGCATTTTCGTTGAAATTTCACAACTTTCTAAGATGCCATTAATTATTAAATAAATTAATAAATAAATGGAACTTAGAACCAGATATGGTAAAATTAGTGCGCACGGAGACGGAAAATGTAAGAAATTTGCACTAAATTTGCAATAACTTTGGTTAAAGTTAATTTTTTTTAATTTCCAAAAAAATACATATTTGTTATGAGAAAACGTAACTATTAGCGAATAAATTGTACTAGCTATAAAAATAAACTTTTTACAGCCATTTAAACATTTAATTTGTTGATAACAATTAAACTGACCACTTTCAGGCTTTGCGACCAAGTTTCTTTGGATTCAAGAGGTCAAATATTTAAGAATAAGTTGTTTGCACATCGGGCTCCTGGACTATATGGTGCACGTGTGCAAATTAAAACTGGGTTAAAAGGTTACTGAACCACAGGTTACCCTAGGTCGGAAACACGACGTACCGAGTTGTTTATTTGTCTCCGTCCCATTGTTTTTTTATGGAATATACAAGTCTCTCTTCTAATTGCAGTCAATATTTAAATACTGCATACAATTTATCCTCTCTTTATAATTTATCTAGTGAGTGTTGGTTTTTTATGACATTATTTCTGTAACGAAATTGAAATGGTTATGAAATGAAATTTAAATTATTTGAACTTTTGGGGTTTTGTAACTTCAATATTAAATCTTATTTAAAGTGAAACAGCTAATTTCTTTGCAGCCATAATAGTCACATTTGGTCAGATGAAACACACTACTACCCGCACACTACTCGTCGGTGGTATAGCTTTCAGAGGAGATTCGGTGTCAATGTCAATGGCGATCGTTTAATTGGGCCGCATTTTCTACCTGAACATCTGAATGGGCCGCGTTACTAATTTTTAGTAGAATTGTTTGAAAACCTTCCCCTTCGGGCTTACAGCAAATGTTGTTAAAATATTAAAATTATGATGCTAATAAAAACTGATTTTTGGCAAGGCATGCTCAGACCTCGAGGTTCTTGCTGGGCAACAATAACAATTTAATATGTTGATTGCATAAATAAAAAATAATTTATAGCATTTTAAATTATTATTGGCTGACGTGAGCAAAACCGTTTATTTATTGTCTTTATATGAGCGAAAATATATAAATATGGCAACGTTGCATCTAGGGCGCGTTGTTCATAGGTTCATATCGTAGCCGTGCATAATATTGTGACGTCAGCCGGTCAGTAACAGCCTGAAAAGGGGGTTAAATAATGATTTGAAAATATTTTTTTTCAGCTTAAATATGCATTTAAATTTTTTTTTAATCACGCCATCGTATTATACTCATTTTTCTCTATCTGCTCTTAAAATTAATGACATTATGACTGAATCACCCTGTATAGTAATAGACATTTTTTGTTTTATCACATTTAACTTCCTTTCCGTTAATAACAACTCCTGTAGCGTTATTGCCATCATTTTCGGAACGCATAACATCTGCCGAAGTTTGTGAAGAATTTACACAAGTTACGGATGTCTCTTCTTGTAAGGAACAGCTATATTTTCTTTTGATATTCCTTGCAATGTCAAGTTTGTTAGATATAAACTCCTCAACATAACTTTCTGCAACAGAGGAGCTCTTCCATTCACCTTGATGGTTGTAAGATCAGTACCTTTGTTGGCCAATAAAGTTGTTGAAGTGCGCTTCATACAATGGCCAGTATATGCTTCCGGATTTGCGATATTCAGGAATGAGGGTACCTTCGCCATGTGTTGATTCCAGCAGGCTGAGATGTACATTTTTGATTGATGTATCTTAAAAATAATATGTCTTGTGTTGTGCTTTGTATCCTCTTGATTCACTCTTCAAATAAGCATTAATCTTGTTATATTTTCCAATATGTAAATTTTTATAGACCTTTATTGTAGCCTTCAACATTGAATACTTCGACCACATAGAAGAAATTCCATATTTTTTTTTTCAAATTTAAAAAATACGATAGCAGGACTTCATTTATTGTCATTACTCTCTGTTTTTCCCTCCATTCGTTCAATTCGGCAAACACTTTCTCGTAATGTTGCCTGAATTTCGCTGGCAATAAATGGAAAATTGCTTCTTGAGCTTCTTCAAAAACAGCCACAGGAACACAATTACTTTCTTGTATTTTTACCAAATTCAGATAGAACTGTTTATTAAATATTTGATAATAAACAACGTACCATACATTTCATTGAGTACTAGTTAGAAATATTAAGTCGTGCGAATATTTTTTTTTTATTAAATTCCAATAATTCCACAAATTTGATTGTAATGTGATTATGGATAAAACGTTGTATTGCATTCGTATTTTTTTGTCTTTTATCTACTTAAGAATATTAAACATTCTTGCGTGGACTTAAAACACTTATACAATAAATAACTATTTCTTTAGTGTCAAAATTTTCTTATTTGTTTCTATACATATCTAGAAAAACATCTGCTTAGGCTTCATAAGTAGTAAATGCTATAGTTGCATTGCCTCAGAAGAAAAGAATAATTGAAGAATATTTCTATGGCGTATAGGATATTTATTTTTTTGATTAGTCATGATTTATATTGGATGTTACAAACGCATCTATAAAAATTGTTATACGTTATAAAATTTGAAATAACGACAAAAATGAAAACGACTTACAGCCTGCCATAAAACTCCAGTCCATGTTTATGAGTTTGATGGCTTTTGTGTTATGCACAGCTGTACCTATGCCTACTTTGATTTTGCAGTGGTTTGTTTGTAGAAACGTTTGAAATAGAGAAAATAAAAGTTAATTGCTTTTGCAGAACCGGTGACAAAGGCCAAGACGACGAGGAGTATGATCCCCACCTCCATAGACAAGTAGAAAAACCGACGACGTAAGTATTTGTTCGAAATTTTTGAGTCGAATTGCAATAAATTCACTTTTTTAATACTGGAACAAACTGAAGTTTAATTCTTCTTAAAAAAGTAACCGAAATTAAGTGAATTTATGTTTTTTTTTGTATGTGAAAGAATTTATATTCATAAAACATTTTTACGATATATCTAAGATAATAATAAATTCTAAAGGTTGATGACTCCGCCTATAAACAAACGTAAAACAAAATGATGCGCATTCAAACTATAGTAAAATTATATTATAAATTTCTAATTAGTAAACTCTTGGTGCGTATTTCCACGGAAAATGCTGCCAATTAAATTTAGTAACTACTTGGAACATACTAACATTATTTTCCTCGAAATAGCGCGTTACTGAACTTTGGAATTGTGACTCCGGTCCGTGAGTGATATATTTAAATCAGTCGAGGAAAATTCCAAACTTTGTACCAAAAACAACGGATTGAACTGGATGTGATCCAGTTTCATCCGCTTGAAATCCACGTTTTATGGCAGCATCTGGGGGAGGTGATGAGTTTTCGAAAACAAGCAACCGCTAGAAAGACAAAGAGACTAGATCTGTTTGCTTTCACCTGTATCACAAATAAGTTAAATTTAAAGCAAGTATATTACTTAGGACCGATCTTTCTCTGCAACTGCTCTCGTCATCGACTAAATCGTAGGAAAAAAGTAAATTAGATTTCCTGGTATGTCCGAAACCTTGTCAATTTGGCAACAATGCAATTCCTTTTCCATCTAACTGTTAAATTTAATGTACATCATAAAACCCGTACAAAAGTTACAGACAATATGTCCATTTGAATGTAACGTCTTTTAAAACAAGTTTTTTTTTTTTCAGAAATGCAGAAACCCTTATACATCTGCTCAAGGGATGTCTTGGGACAGGCATCCTGGCGATGCCGGAAGCCTTCAAGTTCTCTGGAATGGCAAATGGGATAATTTCTACGATACTTATAGGTGCCCTTTGTACATACTGCCTGCACGTATTAGTAAGCAAATTTATGATCAATAATAATGATGCATGTTTTATCAGCCTTGTTCTTGACTAACAGCATTAAAAACTATATAGTTTCTGCATACCACACCATTGTTTCTGCAGCATTGGAAACTGTGTTAAATTTGCTTTGTCAAAATACAATGAATATAAAAGTTTTCTTGAGTTAGCCAATAGCTGTGGATAGTTTTTAGTAGGCGATGGTACTGTTGACAGAAGGAAATATTGTACCATATTTATTAATTAAATTTATTAGCTGGAAACACGCAATTTTACCCTTTAATCCTATTTTTTCTTTTAATTATCTTTCAAATGACCGTCATGAAAGGCTATACAGGGTGTCTCATAATTAGCTGCCAACCCTGAACAGGCCGATTCTATGATCAAAACTAAGTAAAAAAGTTCATATGAACATGGGTCCGGAAATGCTTCCTAAGGGCACAGGGACCCATTGAAGAGGGAGGAATGGAAATCATTTTTTTGCAATATCTCTCAATCGCGTTGTGATAAATGAATGAAATTTGGTATACACAGCTAAATTTTGATGAGCAATTTGATGGACTAATCCATTTATTTCCACAAGGTCCATTGGGGTGGGTACGGGGGGGCCCTTGGTACTTTGCGTGTGTAACTTTTTCATCTTTGACTTTTTAACAAATTGGACAGCAAATTCCGTTTTCCCGAACTGTTTTACGTTAAAAAGGTACTCTTGTTTCAAATCGTTATCTTTAACGGTTTCTGAGAAAATCGCTCTTGAATTAATCCCACTTTGGTCAATTTCATAGTAATTTAAACAAAAAAAATTTTTTTGTTTAAATTTAATCTAATTTTAATAAAAAAATAATAATAAAAAATTAAATTAAATAAAAATTAATCCTTTAAATGGAAAAGAGAGGAAAGGAAAATTATTATTATTTTTTTTTGTTTAAATTACTATGAAATTGACCAAAGTGGGATTAATTCAAGAGCGATTTTCTCAGAAACCGTTAAAGATAACGATTTGAAACAAGAGTACCTTTTTAACGTAAAACAGTTCGGGAAAACGGAATTTGCTGTCCAATTTGTTAAAAAGTCAAAGATGAAAAAGTTACACACGCAAAGTACCAAGGGCCCCCCCGTACCCACCCCAATGGACCTTGTGGAAATAAATGGATTAGTCCATCAAATTGCTCATCAAAATTTAGCTGTGTATACCAAATTTCATTCATTTATCACAACGCGATTGAGAGATATTGCAAAAAAATGATTTCCATTCCTCCCTCTTCAATGGGTCCCTGTGCCCTTAGGAAGAATTTCCGGACCCATGTTCATATGAACTTTTTTACTTAGTTTTGATCATAGAATCGGCCTAATTATGCAGCTAATTATGAGACACCCTGTATATTGTTGCACTATCACGATTATTAAAAAATTATTTTGCGAAAACTATACAACCGATTTTAATGAAATTTGGTGTGTTCTTTTATTATACTCGAAGTTTTTTTTACCAAAATTAGAATGCCCTGGGAACAATTAAAATATTTTTAAAAAATCATCCAAGGAACTTGATTATTTTGCCTTTTTTTCATCAATTATTGCTGTTTTGCAACATCGGAATAAATTTAAACATTTTTAACTTTTAGTATATTGTGCAGAATTCAATTCTAAAACTTTTTTTCCTCTTCAATATTCTTCAGAAATGCATAGGTTCCAAGATATAACTAAAACACTCAGAAGAAATAGATATTTTTAAAAAATTTTTAAACATTTTCGCAATTTTGAAAATGTTCCGGACCTCGCCCAGATCTAGAGATCTACACTTTTATTACGTGAGTTGTACCGAAAGTATTCCAGCAAAAATTAGCTTGCCTATTCAGTACATTTTTATGGGCGTTAAAAGTTTCTTAAAATTGTTTAGTAAATTGAATGCATGCTCATTCATTCTGATCCTTTAATATTGGAGCCACCAGGATTTTGTATGGATGGTACCAAAGATCCCGTTTCAAAATTCGTTGAAAAAATGTACTGAAATGTTCAAAGCAAACTATTCTTACACCTCGAGTATTAACGCAATATAATTTGAATGTTTTTATTTCCAGGTTAAAGCCCAATACGTCCTTTGCAAAAGATTGAAAGTCCCATTGTTAACATATCCAGAGTCAATGAAAGTAGCTTGTGAATTAGGTCCTCCGTGCCTTAAAAAATTCGCCCCATACGCTCCGTGAGTACAATTCCTTTTTACTATTGTACGTTTTTCTTGCTACGATATCATTACAGTATTACTAGACCCTGTTTTTGCTTCATAGAAGATGTCATCATAACTTGCTACTGCTAGAATGAGATTACGCTATAAGTTGTATTGTTAGTTGCCTATCTACGTAGGAAATATAGGAATTGGAGAATACCACACAAATATATTGACTTTTACTGTTTTAGCGACGTGACGAACTTCTTCTTGGTGTTCTACCAAATAGGGATATGCTGCGTCTACGTCGTCTTCGTCGGAAAGAACTTGAAGGCTGTCGTAGACATATACACGGAACCTAAGGAGTTGTCTCTGACTGTGTATATAATCAGCGTGTTCCTACCTTTCGTGCTCATCATATGTGTGCGAAACTTAAAACTGCTAGCTCCGTTCTCAGTGGTAGCGAACATCATCACTTTTATCACTTTCGGTGTTGTCGGGTATTATGTCTGCCAGCAACTGCCAGCTTTCAGCGATTTACCAGCCTTTGGAACTTTGTTCAATTACCCTTTGTACTTCGGAACAACGCTGTTCTCCCTCCAAGCCGTTGGGGTGGTAAGTAATCATTTCTAATAATTCGTCTTTTAGCAACAAATGAAGAAATAGAGATGAACTGTAGGTTAATTTGTGAAGTAGGTTTGAAAGAGTGACTGCCAGCAGGTCACTACGCAATATCAATTTTTTATAATTATTTTAACACCTAAGGACAAGTGTCATCTATTCTGCACTATATAACCCTCTGACAGTGAATTTTCTTAATCCATTCTCTTAAATCCATTAATGTACTTTACAAAATCCAAACTGAGATTCTACGAAATCATCTTTTAGGTGATCGCTCTTGAGAATAACATGAAGACTCCCAAGACATTTAGAGGGGCTTTTGGTGTTCTAAACGTAGGAATGGGCATAGTAACAGTCATCTATGTTCTTATGGCCATGATGGGTTATTGGAGATACGGAGAAAAAATTAAGGACAGCATCACTTTAAATTTCCCAAAGGAAGATATGTAAGTTTGGCGTTATCGATCGCATAATAACCTACGTAATTATTTTTGTTGCAGATTAGCTCAAGTCATTAAGATAATGTACTCCATAGCCATTTTCATCTCTTATGGGCTTCAGGGATATGTACCAGTTCAAATATTGTGGACGAATTACATAGAGAAGCACTTGGAGAACAAACAGCTGTTTTGGGAGTACGTGTTGCGTGTTGGTTGCGTTCTGGTTACTTGTAAGTCTATCAATTTTACATTTATATTGCATTGTAGATGAAAATAAAGTAATATTGTTCCAGCTTTTTATATTCGTGAAAATATACGTCTCTGTTTTCATTTTTCAGTTGTCCTAGCAGCCACCGTACCCCTTCTGGGGCTCTTCATATCCCTCGTAGGGGCGTTCTGCCTGTCAGCACTGGGCATTGCTTTCCCGGCCATTATAGAGCTGTGCGCTTACTGGCCCAACAACCTGGGTCCTGGAAAATGGATCCTAATTAAGGACGTCATCCTTATAATCATAGGAATAGTTGGTCTGTGTGCCGGTAGTTACAGCTGCATATACTCAATAGTCAATGAACTGGCGAAGGGGAATACGTGAACGCGTTTAGAAAATTCGCCGCAAAACATAAAAGCACAGCCGTAGCGAGGAGCTCTACGCTTGGATTCAAAGAAGACATTTTTAATATTAGAATTTTAGATGATGTTTTATTTATTATATATAAATGTTTTTTATATTTAGTATCTAGGCTTACGCCTCAATCTTTACATTCGGTTAGGTACCTTTTATTGTGATTTTCAAAGACCATTGGCTGATATTCCATGTTCAGAGATCTGATAAGCAAATTATTTAATAAAATATGATTTAATTTTTTTTCGCTGTTTTTCAATCCTTTACTAATTTAATGTGGATACGTTTTTTTCAACAAATTTGTAGTTTTAGGTATGAACAATTCAGATGGAAGATCTACAAATTTTAACACACTTTTTAATGGATTTGTTTTGGTCATTACTCAATACGAACGTCATACGTATAACTTTTGTGCTTATAAAATGTTTTCTCATTCAGAAAAAGTTCGTCACAAAAAAAATGAAGAAGAGCTGTAAAGTTATATCGAGAAAGGTATCCTGAGCGCCTCATTCCTGATCATAGAAGCTTTACAAGATTGGAGGCAACCTTGCGAAGAAATTAAGATGCGTTTTCTGCTCGGAAAAATCAAATAATTGACCGAAGGATAAGAAACAATGTTAATACAGCTAGAGTGTTACAGTATTTCGAATAAAATCACGAAATTATATACGGCAACGAATTTTAAAGACCAATGGGTATCATGACTACAAAATTCACAATTTGGAGTATTTGCTTAGCGTCACATTGAAAACAGACTTAATTCTATAGCTCAAATTGTAGTAAATGTAGAAACTGTTGATCAGAACCTTTTTCGGCACGTTCTTTGGACGGACGAAAGTCTGTCAGTAATGGTTTGCCAAGCAGGCGCAACGAACACTACTAGTCCGTTGAAAATCTCCAAATTGTAAATCCAGTCCAAAACCAAGACCATTTTGGAGTAAATATATGGTGCGGCATTATCTTTAGGCATGGAAAGCGTTTGCCTCAATTTTTAAGTTCAGTTATTGTTATCATCACCTTTTGTTTCAACTGTATTAAAGAATTATCGAGTTTAATCCTTTTATTTATTCCTAATGATACTTATGCAGTTTAAACAACGAACATTCAATTATTTACCAACGACTACTTGATCCTTCCAACGCTGTGATTTTTAGGTTGTATTTCTTTTGAGACTCCTTAAGACAATATTGCTTATAACTTTTAAACGGAAAGTAATACAGAAAAATTTCTGTAATAAAAGTTTATTAGAAAAAAGAGAACTTTTTAACAGGAAAATGATTTGGAAAAAATACAATTGATGACGTCATTACTCGCTTCACCCAAATCTCAAAGATAATACTTTCGATTGAAAATGGAGCTTACTTCATCCCATTTAACACCACGTGTCTCAAATTTTTTAATGACAAATCGTAGTGACGCACGTCAAAATGAAATTTTAAAGAAACTATATGCACATAAAATTTGCTCCCAAGGGAAAAACTATGAAAAGTTTTACATTGAGAATTGGTGTTGATCTTTAAATTGCACAAAAAGACTTATAGTTCCTATTACTACGCTTCAAAACAATCATAATATGAAAAACAAAGACTATCAGACATTTGGCACGGAAATAAAAGGCGAATTGTAAGAACCGAACACCCTCAATTATTGTTCTTAAAAGAAGAAAACGAAGAAAAGCATTGTTGATATTTTCATTTAATTAACGTTTAATTAAAATAAAATATATTCAAACCTTTATATTCAGCATGTTTATGCCTACAGTTAGTATATTATTTTCTAAACTTTAATAAAAATTTTGCCACATGCCAATTTTTTTGGGTTTGATAAGGATTATAACGTTTCAAAACAAATTCAAAACAGCAAAAACTGTATCATACCCTTACAAACGTACGCAAATGTCACTAATACAGTTACAATGACAGTTATATAAATGACATCGTCAATGTCCAAAATATTGCGAAAATAATGAGGTAATGCTCAAGTTGACAGAAAACATAACAGTAACAGAAGGTTGGGTAGAGTAAATAATTATTTCCAGTCCTTCTATAAAAACTACAGCGTTTTTAATACATGAAGATACATTTATGAAAGTCACTATTTTAATGATCAATTATAGTATTCCTTTGAGATAGTTACAAATATTTATTATCACTTTGAATTAGAACTATTTTTTTAGTACCGATGCAGAGCTAAAGGAAGAAGAGAAAGAATATGATCCTCATCTTTATAGGCAAGTTGCTAAGCCTACAAAGTAAGTACACATAATCAGTCACTTAATTTTTGTTGATTTTTATGATACCATTCTTATCTTTATAGTCATGGCGTTAATATTTTTTAAAGAACAAAGGACATACGTATTTATAACAAAAAACAAAGCGTTTGATGTTTGTGATACAATTTATTCAAATAAAAGAAATTACATTTAGTTAATAGTAAATAACTCTTTCAAATTGTTTTTAAAATGAAGTAAATCATTAAAAAACATTGTTATTAATTAATTAATATGATATCAATATATGGGGAACGTCAACAAAATGCTGCCATAGCATCGCGAATGTCTTCCTTAAAGGGTATCAAGAAACACGACACCCACAGGAACATCAGTAATTTTCATTTATTTTTAGCGATGTAGAAACACTTGTCCATATGCTAAAAGGATGCCTTGGCACCGGGATCCTTGCAATGCCGCAGGCATTCATGTACTCGGGAATGATCAACGGGATAATCTCCACGATATGCATAAGTATCCTTTGTACCTACTGTTTCCACCTAATGGTAATCATATATTACGTATTGGTAAATAATTAATAGGTTATTTGCAGGTTAACGCCCAATACGTCTTATGCAAACAAAAAAGAGTGCCGCTATTGACATATCCAGAATCTATGAAGGAAGCTTGCGAGGTGGGTCCGTCCTGCTTCAAAGTATTTGCTCCCTGCGCTTTGTGAGTAGTAGCCTGGTTGACTAGCATCAGAGAAAAGCCAAAGAATAATAAGTTTAATACCAGAAACAACGGCAATTTACAAACTGTCACTACTATCTCTTACCCTTGTTCTGGATTTTAAATATTACCAATTTATTTTATTATTCTTCACTTTGTGTGCGACACAGACCACAACATTAGCTACGTTCGCTTTGATAACTATGCACGACAAAATTAGTCGATGTTACGACCAAATAAAGCACTACCCTAGCTGTATTTGCTATGCTAACTAAATTTGCTTCCGTGTATCATAGCGAACATAGAGCACATATCGTACGCATTTGAAACGATACTGACTATTTTTTATATACATCGAACACGGCGAACATAGCGAACATGGCGAACATAGTTAATATAGCGAACATAGCTAATATAGGAGACACATCTAGCATCACGAACATAGCTAACATAGCGAACATGATGAACATAGTTAATATAGCGAACACAGATAATATAGGGGACACATCTAGCATCACGAACATAGCTAACATAGCGGACGCATCTAGCATTGCGAACATAGTTAACATAGCTAGCACAGTGCTACGTGTACCTCTAGCTTTATGAACAAGTATCGCAACTTAAGTACTTGTATAATTTGTATTATCTTTTTTAGTGATATAACGAACTTCTTCTTAGAATTTAACCAGGTTGGCACCTGTTGTGTCTACATTGTCTTCGTTGCTGTTAACTTAAAAGACGTCATAGAGGTCCACACGGAGACAATATTTCCCAAAAACGTATACATAGGCTTCATTTTTATACCGTTCCTGCTCGTTATGTGCCTGCCCGATTTAAAGGTTCTAGCGATATTTTCGACCGTTGCGAATTTAATCACTTTTGTCACCTTTGGTGTCGTTGGATACTACGTAAGTCAAGATTTGAAAAATTTCAGCGACATACCAGCTGTCGGCACCTTGTTTCATTATCCGCTTTATGTTGGGACGGCGTTGTTTGCCCTGCAATCTGTTGCTGTAGTAAGTAGTTTTTATAATAAATTAATGCAAGAAATTAAAAGAATTTCCGAAATTTTTCCGTGATTTTTGACAAATTTTTTTTCAAAATCTGGATTACAAAATTATGCAAAATCTATAGAACCGATTTTGATGAAATTTGGTATGATGATTTTACATAACATGAAATCTTCTTGAGCCACGTATGAAGGTCCTTACCCTTTTTAAAGACCCCAAAAAAAATCCCTAAAGAGTAATGTTTTAACCCCATTTTTGGCGATTTTTTCGATTTTTATAATAATAATCATGATTCATTCGATTTGTAACTAGTCCTATTTTGTAAAAAATTAAATTACAAACATTTTTTTCCTCTTCCATTTTCGCCTAAAATCAACTCTTGAAAATATACATAACTAAATAGGAAGAAAAATATGACATTTTTCGATTTTTTTTAACATAGTGTGCCGCCAAAAGTTAAGCCCACGTTTTTTTTATGCGCATACAAAAAAATTTCATTTCTAGTGATATTTGGAAGCCAAAAAGCCAAAAATCTCCGTGGATATACGATTCACCCAAACCAAAACAGACAACGCCTCGTTTATAAATACAGTCTGTCAAAAATCACTGAAAAATTTCGAAAATTCTTTTGACCCCTTTTGCATTAGTGTATATTAATTAATTATTTTTAATTTTAAGCATCATTTTGCACAAAATAAAGCTTTATATTTATACATTTGTTATTAGATCATCACCCTAGAGAACAATATGAAGAATCCCAAACATTTTGGGGGTTATTTCGGAGTATTTAACATAGGAATGCTTATAATAACAATAATCTATATAATTATAGCAATGTTGGGCTACTGGAGATATGGCAGTGACATAAAAGACTCTATCACCTTAAATTTTCCTGAAAAAGATATGTGAGTAACGATTAACTTATACATTTTCTATTATTTTTATATTTCACTACCTTTGAACCTACGTAAATTTATATTACAGATTAGGTCAGGTTATTAAAATACTGTATTCCCTGGCTATATTCATATCATATGGCCTTCAAGGCTATGTGTCTGTGTACATATTATGGACTCAGTATATAGAGAAACGCGTACGAACTAGAAAGCTTCTTTGGCAGTATCTGCTACGCATTTGTCTTGTTTTGTTTACATGTAAGTAACTTAGATTATAGGGTCTTTTTTATTTATTTTGTTTCTAATCTATACAAAACTTCTCGTTTTAGTTATTTTAGCAGCGACTGTACCATATCTAGGCTTCATCCTGTCGCTGGTAGGAACAGTCAGCTTATC